TTAATAGGAGCTGCGATTTCTTCATCTGTTATATCTGCATGATATTTTCGAACGACACCTAGGAAAAAATAATTTTTTCATTACGTCTTCATTATTTGATAATAAATTAAAACAAAAAATATTTTAAAAAATCAATATTATAAACAAGTTTAATTAATTAAATAAATAAATACTATAAATATAAATGCTATAAATATTTACAAAAATGGCCTAATTTATAAAAGAATAATAATACTATTTAGTGAAAAATAAAGATTGTTTTTAAGTATTTTATTTAAGGGGGTATTCTAGTATAACAGAATAATGTTTTTTCTACGTTTTTTCGAAATTTTTCTTGAAAAATCTATAATCCTTTACTTTTAATAACCTTTTTGATATCAGGATTTTTTCCATATATTTATTAATATTATTAATATTTAGAGAATGTTTGTAAATTTTTTATTAAAAGAGAGAGAGAGAAAGAGAATCATCCATAGTAGACCGTTTTGAAGTGAATAAAAAATGTGCTTGCGTGTCCACATGAGTCAGTTCTATTCATCTGAAACAAAAAAATCAAAGTATCAGAATAAAAGAAAAATATCGGAAATTAAAGAATATCACTTTGGAAATTAGATTTTTACAAATTTTTTATTTTTAAAGGGTTGTAAAATGAAAAAAAATGTTAATAAAAATATGTTAATCGTAATAGGGATGTCGATAGCGACACATGTGCTAAAAATATATGCAAGTTGAGCTCAATTGGTCAAGTCAATCTTGAGATATCATGAACACCAGTTCAAAAAAATACGATTTCGAGAAAGAGGCATTTAAAGTTTTGCATACAGTTTATACAGAGAAAACTTTACTCACCATTAATAAGCCAGTCCAGGATCATAGAGGAGACTCTCCTCTTGCTTGAACAAATTTTGCTCAGCTGTTATCTCCTTCCGGCAATCGATTCTGGCTTGTTCAGTAAAATCACTTGAGCATCGCTCCGAATAGCTGATACGAATATGGTTTCGGAAGTTCACATACATTTCCGCTTGCTATCCAATAGTCCCTCCCATTGTTGCCATTAGTTTTAAAATTGGCAAAAATCCTTCATTAAATACATTATTGCTAAAAAAGTGGCGATTTCAACATTTTTTAATCCAGAATGTATGTGTTTGAAATGTTTGTATTTTAAAGATTCATTGTTATTTTATGTTTCTGCTCCTAAACATTTTTTCTAATAAATTATCAGTTAATAAATCCTCATAAATAGATTTTAATATCTTTAATACTTTATCATTAAGAGGTGGCTTGTTGTGAGTAAAATTTTTAAGTGTATCCGTGGCTTCGATTTTATATCACTCGCACTAACTTTTCACCTGAAGGACAGTGTTGTGGTTTTTCATAGAACTCTTATGACAATAAGTAGCCTTAAAAATATTTCTTTTCTCATTTCTTGTACGAAATCAGGATGTTTTCGAATAACTAAACCATAATATTTTGTGAGTTCACCAATAATCTTGTCTGTTAAATTTCGCCTTTGCCGCCGATACTTTCTTTTGCATTTTAAAGTTTCGTGCTCATTCTTTTTTCGACATAAATAACGCACTCCTTTTTTTCATAATTTCTTCGTCATATGAATTAACATCTAAAATACCCTTAAAAGTTTTACGTCACTGTCTCTTAATGTATCGAATTCCATATTTCTCCTTAAATCTCAAAAACATCTCCGTAATAGCGTCAATCTTTATTTTACCTGCCGTTGTAATTTATGGAGCAATCTTTCATGGGTTTTGTACCAATCATTGTATTCATGAATTTTCGTTTTTCTTTTTTTTTCCCTAAATTATAAACTTGATAAAAGCTACTTTTCATGACAGTATCGACTACCTTCTTCGAATATTTTCCTGTAAAAATAGAGAACGACGAATAAAAAAGAAAATCCTTTTTTCCATGTTCCATCGTCAACTTGATTGCAATATTTTCGGCTTCTTCATTCATTTGCTTTTATAAAAATACAATCGTAAACTGTAGATGCCGCTTCATTTTTTTTAAGGCAGGCATAATATGCATTCCTTAAGCTAAGAAGCTATTCCTTCACCAATGTCCATCAAATCGCAAAATAAATCCAGACTTTTTCTGCCAACACCCAAAAGTCGCATAACAAATATAATCCGATTGATTTTGTATGTATTTTTAATAAATGGCGATGAATTGATTAGCACTTTATTACAATTGCACTGCATGGAAATTTTGAAACCCAAACCGACTAGTAGTCTGTAAAAACTTTATATCACTTTTACAGTTTTTACAAATCATATAGCAATTGTCGAAAAGACGGTGAAAAAATTCAAAATACAATAACCCATTTCTTTTGAAATAGTACAGTCGATAATTTTAGAGTTTCGAAGTTCTTTTGCTGACGTGCTGGTAAATTCCGTACTCTGTTCAGCGATATGTTGATTACCTCAAAAATTTCGTTTTTTCCGACATTCCACATGAGCATGTTTTGTTTTTGATTCCTTTTTGTCCATTTTTATTTTTTGTCCAAGATTTAGCAAATAAATAAATGTAAAATTACTTCACACAATTTAAGATAAATAAAGTGCTACGTGCTAATATTCGCTCTTTTCAACATTCAAAGTCACACTAAAGTACGAGCCAAAAAAGCAAATGTTCCCTCGCTGTAGTCGTTAGAGTTGATCCTTTTGAAAAATCCCATTCTAATCTTCCAAAAAATAACGGTCCTACGAATTTTTACCAAGATATACCTATCAAGATGATACTATTGTGCGTCGCTTTCCGCTCTCGGCAAGAGCGCTATAAATCTATCTACCTACCTTTCAGTCGCTATAACTTTGAAAGTTTTGCACATTGAAATAAATCCTTTTACATACATATTTTCCATAACATATTACTTGTAGAAAATGTAAAAAACTCGAGTTTTTTTTTTAATGTTATATTAGAATACCCCTTTAAGGTGATGCGTAATTTAATATCTGAAACGATTGATAGTAATCGGCGGTATTGGATCAAGCCCGGTCCTTATTTTATGGATACATTCTGATATTCATTGCCAGTACTGAAGATATATATAGTTCATGTCACATATATTATAGATTTTTAATACTGGCAGTGAAGCAGAACGCAACTCTGTGTTTGAAAACAAATAGAAAGTCACAAAGAACTTCTTAAATTTAGATGACGTCATGAATTACCTATCCACCTTCGTAACAATAATTACTATTACTATTACATATTCTACTTACTCATAATTACTTTACATATCTCCAGTTTACAGAAAACTTGTTTTTTTTTGCTCCATACCAACTATATTTCTCTGCAACTTCATTTGATAATATTGCTCTCATCAGTCGTAAACATGACATTTTTAAATGTTTGGATGTTACACGTCCCAATTGCTTAATCTATAATTATTTCAAATTAACATTATTCCTTGTTATTTTTAAAAATTTATTTTTCTATTGGCTTAACATTTTATAATATTGAAATATAAACATTAATCTTACCATTTGTTGGCGATACCACAGATCATTTTTTAATTTCGTTTCCATTAATTGTAGTTCATTTTCATCTCGCAATGGTAAATTTTTAAAAATATCAATATTTTCTTTATCTTCCACAATATCACACATTGTAAACTTTTGAAAAGTATTAATATGCTTTTCAATTTGATTTATTTTCATTTCCAAATTAATAAGTTTATATACAATGAAACGTTGAAAATTGTCATACTCTGTAAGATATTATAACATTTTATTTAGCTAAATAAAATATAAAATTTTTGAAAAATTCAACAAGTTAAGAAATAAAAACAAATAAAGAAAAATATCACATAACATTCAAGGATAAATGATTTATAACTTGTAACATTGAAATATGTAAATAATTGCAAATAATACAGAAATTAAATACTAACTTTGTTCGAAATTTGTGTTATGCGCGACGCTACTATTACCTTCATTGCTCTCTTTTCTCATGTTGGGCAAATTTTGAATATATAGTGGATCTGAAAATAACAAAACAATATTACATTTTAATCTATTTCGATAAAATTTTAATATTGATTTAGCTAGGCACATATTGGGATGATTCCTGATTAATGTTTAGAATGACTGGTTAGTAATCTGTGGTATTGAGTTCAAAATTGTGACTCTATATACTGATTGTTACTCTATATATTTAAACACAAGCGAGGAATTACAAAGAAACTTAAATTTAAAAAATGTCAAGAGACTATTCTAATCCCTTTTATAACAATACTATTTTTATAACTACTATTACTACTGACTAGATGTACAATGAATGATGTATATAGTCATCTAGTCTAACTGTAATAAAACATATCATCTTTATTTAATATTTAACTAACAAGACAAATGAAATAATTCATTATATTAATATTATGTCAATTGTGTCTAAATAATTTTCATAATAGAAGATATTTACTTGCAAAAAAAACAAATTGTTAAAAATTCTTTAAAATACGGAAAGAAACTAAAAAATTACGCAAAATTATTTCGCAATAGTAATGACTTTAGAATAAATTTATCACTAATTATAAAATAAAAAATAAAAAAGTAAAATAAAAAATAAAAAATTACTTGCCTTCTTCTTCATTCAAATTTGGAAATCCAAAACAAGAACATTTTTTTCTCAATATTTGTTGCAACGATGTTAATGCAATATGCGAAATTTGATGTTGTTTAGTCCATATGGCAAGATCATGTTCCAAGTTACTATCTGTTACACTTGCATGTTCAAATACTG